TTCCCGGTTTTCGGGAGGGGGGGGGGGGGTTTAAGGGGCAGGGGGTTTTTTTTTTTCCCCTTGGTTTTTTTTTTCCCTTGGGGTTGTTTTTTTTCTTGGGAAGGGTTTTTTTTTTGGGGGGGGGCAGGGTTTTTTTAAAGGGGGGTTTTTTTGTTTTTTGGGGGGTTTTTTTGTTCCCTTAAAAGGGGGGGGGGGGGTAGTTACCTTTTAAGGTTTTGGGGAGGAAAACCCCCCCGGGGGGGAAGGGGCCCCCTTTTTTTTTTTCCTTTTTGGTTCCCCCTGGCCCCCCCCCGAAGTTCCCCTTTTTTTCCTTTTTTTTGTTTTACACCCGGGGGGTTAGGGGGTTTCCCGGGCCGTTTCCCCCGCCCCATTCATTGAAAGGTCCAACCGAGAAGACGTAAATAGGGTTTCGATGACTCCCCCCCCCCCCCCCCCCCACACATACACATAGCGGAACGCCCTCCCTTCTGGAACAAATGGAACGCCAGGTGTACACCGAGAAGAGCGATGCCTTCGACGCGAAGAAGGTGGATGGGGACGTGGAGGAGGACAACCCGGAAGCGGATTTGGCCGAGCGCAAGAAGAAACGCATGTACGCCTTCAAGGCACACCTCGAGCACGAGTTCGATGCGGTGAGGATAAAAGAGAGGGGGAGCGTTGTTTGATGTTGTTTTATTGGGGGGATGAAAGGCACACCTCGAGCACGGCTTCGATGCGGTGGGGAGAAACGAGGGGGGGGGGAGTCTTTGTGTAGTCTACAAAAGGGTGCGTGGTATGTGTTGTTGGGGAGGGGGCGTAGAGATACGCCTCGAGCACGAGTAACAAGGGGGGGTTTCTACGCCACTTTTTATTTCAGTTTTATTTTCTTGACGAAGTGGGAGGAGGTTGAAAGGCGTGGCTATAGAGAAAAGGGGGATGATGGGGCGAGTTGTTATAATATACTGTTTTGACACTTTTTTATGGTGACGAGGGGAGGGGGGGGTGGAGGTCGAAGACAAACTACAGCACAACCACGAGTGGGGCGTTAAGCACTGTGAGGATAGGGGCTCCATATGTTCTATTAATAGTGACGGTAGAATGAGGGGTTGGGGCCCCGCACTAGGTGCATCACGGTACCGTGCGTGCGTCGTTGGCAGCAAGAACCTTTTTGTCGATGAGGCACCCTTCCAAAGACTCTCTTTTTGTTTTTTTTGTGATGTTGTTGTTCTGAAAACCTGCGCAAAATTCGGCGTTTGTTCACCTCAATAGCATATTTTCCTCCTCCAACCGTTCGTTTTGTCGTCGCGTGTGCTCCCTACCGTTCGTGCTCTGTTTTGTTGTGCGCTTTGTTTCGTGTCAAAAGGTGGAGCGGGTCCTCAAGGACTCCGTAGACAAGCTGGCCGATGTCAACGATAACATGCAGAGCCGTATCACGAAGTTGGAAAAGGACATCAGCACCGAGGTTAGTCAAACGTTGCTCTTGATTTTGATACTGGTTTCGTTGTCGTCGTTCTGGTGTTTCGTAAATAGACTCCGCGTGTCTTCCCCTCCTAGACAAAAACATAAAAAGTTGGCACCGAATGCATCAATGACATTTAAAACTACAAGCCCCCCCCCCCTCGTGGCTCGAAGCATCTGAGGACCCCCCTCCTTTGTAGGGTTTGCCCCGCGTGTTTTGAAATGATCGCCGTCTCTTCCCCAACTACTCAATAGCTTGAAAAAAATGTACCCCATGCACCAATGATGTCACGACCGCCCCTCCCCTGGCTTCCAGGATTTGAGTACCCCCCCAATCCTGCCTTGCCGCACGTCGATTTTTAGGTGTTCTCTCAGTTGAACAGGCGCGTGAAGGACATCGAGTCCAGGGTCACGAAAAACGCAACGCCTACGTTGGAAAACCGCCTCTCGGTGGCGAAGGAATTGTGGTCTGGCGAGGTGCGGTTGTTTGATGATGGTGCTATTTGCCGTCGGTAATGTTTGTCGTCGGTGCCGGCGGTGGTTTTGCTGCCGTGTTGTTGCAGTTGATGCCGCCGGTCGCGCTGGTGGTCCCGATATATCGCGGTGTAGTGGCAGACAAGGACAACCGCGTTTTGCAGATAGCACCCGCACTTCACAACCTCTGGTCTCGGCCGAGGCTACGAATGACCGCTATATTGGTTTTATTGTAGGGCTTCTTAACCGGGCTTTTGAATTTTTCGAGGTTAAATTTCTGAACTGCTAAGCGGGCGCTATCTATATGGGGACCCGCGCTATCGGGGGGAAGCTCCCTGAATACCAATGTAGACGTGTATTGGCTGTTGCTCCAAGGGGTGTTTTTCCCGCGATGTTTCGGAAACCGCTCTATTCGGGACCGCCATATATATGGGGACCACCGCTGTGATGGTACCGGTGCTAAATTTTGCCATGACCGACAATCGTTCGAACCGGCCGGCATCACTCGCTGCACGTGTTGCCAAGGAATCGTTCGGTGTAGTAGACTTGGGACGCTGACACCTCAGGACGATTCTAGCTTTACAAAACTGACGACCGGGGGGGGGGAAGGGGGGGATTGTAACCTGGCTCTGGAAGACTGACTTGCTGTGACGCACGAGGCAGCTACATAGTTGGCACGCGCCGTCCCACTGGCGTTGCGCGCGCGTGTGTAGGATTGATGATATTTACGTATGTTGTTGTCGCAGGCGACGTGGATGGCGATTCGGGTGCGACGAACCCAACGTACTTTCACCAACTCGCTCTTGAAACATTGACACCTCTCCCCCCACGACTCCCGTGCTGTTGCCCTATTGTTTTCCCGATTTTATTTTGCGTTTTTATTTTTTTTGCGTTTCCCGAAAAGACCGGGGACTCGATGGAATCCTTGCTCAAGAAGAACACGGGATACCGGCTACCCTTCTTCGTGGTGCTTGCCGTCGTACTGGCCCTGTTTGCGGTCTCGGTGAAGCAATACCGGAGGCTCATGAGATCCAACTTCCTGGGAGGCATGCGATAGCGCGAGAGGGTAGGCGGGCGGGGGGGGACAGACAGACCGCCAGGAACGCTTTTTGTGCCGAGTGGTAAACGGAGCCCCAACGCCGCTGCTCGCGGAAAGAAACGCGGGGCACCAGGCGGGGAATTCTTCAGTCGTCGCGAGTACCTTCTCCATTTCGCCGCCTCGGCCTTAGCTTAGCTCAACTTCTATCGTCGACTGAAAGTGTAACCGTCAACCGCAGCCGAACACGAACTATATCTGTTTGGTCGTGTCACGGGTGTGCGCGGGTAGAGTTATGGCCAACTTTAGACCGAGAGGTCACTGTGAGAACACGGAGGGGTTTTCGATACCGTTCGTTGTGTCGAGGGGGGGGGGGGCGTGGGTGATTCATTGTGCCCCCCAAGAAACTCTTGTCTGCGTGGTCGTCAAACGGTGGTGCTATGGAGTCTTCCTTGTTGTGTTCTTGCCTCTAATACCTTGCATTGGTTCTCAGGGTTGTGTGTGCGAGACAGCGTATTTGGGTTTCGTGCTATCTGCCCGTCTATGGGTGTGGTGAAAAGAAGAGCCATGCGGCTTTGCTGCTGTGCTTGGAGGTTTGGGCGTGGTACTTGAGGAGACCCTCGATGTTTTGGTAGGGTGCAAACGCCGTGTACGACATAGTTTGTCCGTTTCTTGGTTTGTGTATCTGTATGAGAGTTTGTTGACTGTACCGTTCCAGAATGTCCAGCTTGCGAGTGTACTCCTGTTCTCCCTGCTGTTGTTTGAGACACACGAATAAAGAGTGGCGCTGTGAACGGCGGTGATGTGTGGGATGTTTTGAGAATAGTGCCTCTTCGCATTTTGATGTGAGAGGAATATTGGCACCGTGACGGGGGTGTGTGTGACTACATTATGCCTCCCGCTTCAAATTTCTTTTGTGTAGAAGGCAAGGCATGCCACGAGGCAGGGTAGAAGACTTGCCGACACTGATTTTCCATTTTTTTTTTCTGTGAGTTTCACCAAATAGTACATAGGACGTTTTTTTCGTGTGAAGCTCTCGGAGCTCCCTTTCCCTTTGCGACGATCCACCCGGATGTCTGCAAGGGCTAAGTTCGCATACACTCGCCCCGCGGGTGCGCGACTTGGTTTTTAGATATCACGGCCCAGTGTTCAAGCAAGTAAAGGAGGGTCACGCACCTGACATCAGAGTAGTATTTCATTTTTTTGGTAAGCCGCAATCAGAAACTGAAAACCCGATTAACGGCTTACATGTGCGCACTCCATCTGGCCAAACGAAGAACAATAACGGAGGGGTTAGCTCGCTTGCTACAGCATCCACCCGTACTACAGCGATTATAACAGCAAATCTCCCCGCCATGCACCAGCGGATGTCATGCTCCGTCTCCATTGCAACAATCATCCCTTGAGCCTCTCGCAATGCGTTTACGGAGGTGTGCGGAGCGAGAGCAAGAACCAAGCCCTGCTTGCTGTGGCGGCGGTAGTAACGCTTAAGGAGTAGTAATGGGTGTGGTGTTTTGTTGTTCGGCGATGACCGCCTTACGTTGAAAGCCGAGTGGTCCGACCAAGGCATGGTAATAGTACCTCCATCTTTGTCCAATTTATGAAAAGGTTGCAGGTTGTTGCCTCAGGCAACCGTGCTGGTCCTCTTGAACCTTTCGTCACCGTTGAGACGGTGTGTAACCACGACGTTTTTGTCATGGAAGAAAGCGGTGAGCAAGGAAAGACAACCATCGGTGAGCTAGCTACTCTCAATCAAATGCAGAGAACACAGAGGATGTGGAGGTTTCACACACGGCCAATCAGTCCCTGCGTGCAAGAGAAGCGCGCTCTCTCAAATCCTGTCTTGCATCCTATGCATGAAGTTGAGCAAAACCAAGACTCTTGTTGATTTTCATGTGATATTTCTTCACTCCATTGTTCTCGCGCCGGATACATAAACCATTCGAGCGGACGGGTTCACAGCAGTTGAACTGAGTAAATCGGTCACGAACGAGCCTGATCGCTAAGGGCTACACAGCGTTGGCCCTTCTTCGCTTGCGATACGCACACACCTCCCAACGTAGCTTTGCGCTCATCTCGCTCTACGCTGCCTGCCTACCAGAGCTCGACCTTGTTCACTCCTCAACATCACACCGGTCGTCGGCCTGGGCGAAAGGAATGTTTGTTCTCAGGAACGGTCTCAAGAACGGTCTCAAGAACGGTCTCCTACATTGCTTTTCCGCCGTTCTCCGCCGCCGTCGACAAACCTGTCTGCAAGCTGGCCCAACACGCCCAACCTGCCCCCGCCGCGTTCTTCAGACCGTTCTTCTGTACCCGGCCTGTTCGCCTAACAATGAAGTACGACCTCAAGTTAACAATACCCCATACAAAGCGATTTTAACACTCAAACCTTTAATTAACTTTCCACTGCATGATATAAGTACAATCGGCGAACGACGACCAGACCCGGGACCGTTCCCCACGCACCAATAGAAACCGAGGACAGCGACAACGGAGAAACACGTCGGAGATTGCGAAGATCGTCACAACGAGCTCTCTCGTGTGCCCGTGTACTATTGCTACCCATCGGCGACCTCACCGGCCCCATAAACAATGCCAGAATATCATGGAGCTCCCCAAAGGGAACTCGGCTCACACACGCTACAACGCCAGATCGATACAACGCTACGTACACCCAGGGAGAACACCGCTACGCCGGCTTCCTGGCCGACGAACATTTTCGCAGGCAAAATGACCCGACTCCCCGCCCTCTGGCTGGTTATGGGGGCGGCTCTGCCCATCTTTGAGATCAATTAGTACCTTCCCTCGTCAAAGAATACTACTTTCCCCGCCAACAACGCACTCCTCAAGATAAATAATGTAAACGCATTCCATTTAACATAACGTAACCTACCTCGGCGCAGCTCGCGCTAGAATAGAATACTCGACGGAAAATTACGAAAGGTTACCACTCGGTCTGGTGCACAGACCGGTATAGCCGCAAATATGTATACACCCTCCCACAATAAAAGAACAGCGTCGGCGCTGAAGCTGTTGGCGAAATCGAAAACGTCTATATACCGCTCATGACGTCTTCCTTCCCCAAAGGCGGAACACCGCAAGCCAAGGGGGCTGTCTCATCATTCTATCCCTCCTTACACTTGGCAACTGCTGTGGAATTCTCGCCGCATGTGTATGTTGTCCTTGCTGGCTATGCTGGTGTCCCGGGCAAGCAGAATGTCGGGGCACCCTTTCCCATTCCAAATCCCATCCCTTCCTTGAAACTTTCTTTGTCTAGCCACCTCCATGCTCCGTAAGCTTGCCTCTGCCGTGCTCTCTGCTCGAGCATCGATCCTTCTCGCAAGCGGGGCGCGAGCGTCAAGAAAATCGTCTACAAAAGCCGAGCGGGCACCATTTCACAACATCCTCCGCATCCAAAAAACTATGCAACAAGGCCAGTCTAGCGTTACTACAACATTCCCATATTACCTGGCGTTTTTGCCCCCTGTGCGGGATGTGACATATCCCCCCCGGCGACCTAAAATGGAAGCCCTCCCCGCAACATGCTACCCCCATACTTCCCCAACGCAAAAACTGTAAGGGGTAAGACCCCACAAAACGAGTCAAATATATCAGCAGGGTGGCTCATGTCTTTCACGACGCAAAACAGGGATATGCCCTAAATCTACAAATGAGAACCAGGTTTCATGGGGAACCTTCAAGCGGAATGCGGGTGGGTGTGCACATGTACCGGCGTAACACTCTCGAACGAGCTGCACGTCTATATCGCAGACGCACAAGCCAATTCTACAGACAAGCAAGGTGGTCTTGCGCGGGGGTTGCATCTCATCTCTCTCATCATCTCTCTCAAACACTTTTTATACCCCCCAGTAACATCCAGACTACGGAACCCCCCCCCGAGTCGACCCCGATCCACCGATGAAGAAAAATGTTTATTTGCCGCATTCACGACTCGAAGCCATGAGCGGAAGGAAGGAACGAAATAGAAGTATAAAGATCCAAGCCTTCCCGGAATCCCCCGTAAAGACCGCGGGGCTGAAGAGCACGTCCATCCTGTTTGCGGGGCCCCTTAGGTCGAGAGATTTATTACGTCTACCACGAGAGACGGCGCAGACCACGCGGCCAACCAGAACTCACGTAATCAGGTGTTAAGACCAATCGGAGCCAAATTGCCCGAGTAAATAGACCGCGAACTGGACCGGATCCAAACTGATCCTCCTCCCGCCGTGCAAGACGAAAACCTGACAAAAAAAAAGAGGCGACGCAGAACGCAATTCTGGCATAGACACACACACCACATGTACGCGGGTCAAACACCACAACCCCCCCCTTCCTGCAAAGCTAACCTTGCGACTTAAAGCTGCCGCTCTTGTTCGCCAAGGCTTGGGCGGTGAACTGCATCCCGGCCCCGGCGTACTTCTTTTTTCTCTCCGCCGCTGCCGCCTCCACATCGTGGAGCTCTTTCCGCCGGGTGGCCCAATATTCCGCCTGGCGGACATCCGACAAAAAATAAATAAATACGGCAGTAATGGAGCTCATAAAAACAGGGGGCCGCACACGTAAGTAAACTCACATTTTTTCTGTCTTTTTTATTGTTGCGCGGGTTTCGTAGGGCTTCTTGAAAAAACGAGAAAAAAAAAGGGGGGGTCCGCGGCCGGTGGTGTCAACGCCAGTCTCGCTGAACCTCAAGTATGGATAAAATGTCTTCTCTCAACTCACATCCGCTAAAGCGTACCATCCAAGCAGTTTCGCACGTACCTAGTTTAGACCTTCCCCGGGCAATTCTCTCTTGCTTGGCTAGTTGTTGGGTTTTTGCCGTGTGAACAGAGCAGCGGCAATTCCATTGCCTCATCTTTCGGATCAGTACGAATACCTAATTGGTACTCACCTAAAACAACACTAACAACGACAACGGCAGCAGCACAGCGACAGCAACACCAACTACATCGGCACCACTACCATTTAACAAAATACAGTATTATAGCAACAACCGTAGGAGCAGCAGCAGCAGCAGCAACAGCAACGTCAACAGCGGCAGCAAAGCAACACAAGCCGCCCGACCAGCTATGCACTCCCTTTACCTTGTTCTCTGAAAGTTCTTGCGCCTGAGCCTCAAGTTCCGCCTCGTTATGCTTCCCTGACATCTTCGACCGCTCCACCACTTCTTGAAGGGCGATCACCTGGACGGAGAGACAAACATAGCGAGAGAGAGATAGAGAGAGAGAGACATCAGACATGGCTAAATAAGAGAGAGGTCAGACATGGCTGAATAATAACCAACACCAAGCAAAGAGCGAGAAAGATCAGGCACGGCTAAACTATTATAGAACCAACACCACCCAAGCATAGAGGGAGAGAGATCAGACATGGCCAATGGCCAAAAAAGCCAACAAAAATTCATATCGCTAAAGCCCCCCAATGGACCCCCCCGTCTCGCCAAAACATTACGTCAAGGGTTCTGGCAGTATCCCACCCCACCACCTTCTCGCCGCATCCGTGTGCCCCCCACCTAACGTTATGGCCTCCTGCCCCCCCCTTCAAATATGTTCGCGTGTCTTATCCATGCCACCAAGTGTCACTATCACTTTTCACCCCGTCTCCCTCTTCGGGTACTCACCCATAAATCCCTGGTGGCTGCGTCAGCCGTCTCAAGCTCCAGCTCCTTGGAGTTACCCTTGCCGAGCAAGACCAGTCCGGTTGCACCCGCAGGCTTGACGTTCTGCACGCTGGTTACCTAAGAAGAACGGAGAGAGAAAGAAAGTGAGAGAGAAAGATGCGGCGGGGGATAGAGAGGAACATTGGAAGATATGAAAGACATAGCGAACAACAAGCATTGAATCATCATGGCTGCGAATTTTGCTTCTGTTGACGGACAACAAGCCAGCTAGCCCCCCCGCGGACATCCTCGGGAGTACCATGACCCCCCTTGACCGGTACAGGGGGCCACTACAGCAGCAGCGACGACAACGGCCACTTGCGCCGATGGCCAACAACGACAGCAGCCATCAACACCATAAACGCTCACCCACAAGGGTAATGAATCATCGCTGCAAGCCGCGCCAGGACCAAGCGTGTGTACAACCACACAATCACCCTATCGCGGGATTTATTTATCCCGGACTTGAGATCCACGGACGGAGAGGAAACGAATTCTTACCTCAAGCACATAAAAAAAAAAACAAAAAACGAGATAATTAGTTGTCATTTTCGTAGCAAAAATACACACAAAAACACAGCAAAAACCGTCCGACTGTTGTGGGTATATCACGAAACGGGGGTAGTCTCTCCTGTGTTTGTAATTATTTTTCCTTGTATGTTGTTAAAAATCGAAAAATTGCATACCTTGACGCTCCCGAAGGTGGGCGCATCCGCACTCGCCCACGAAACCGTCGACTGATCGTCGCTGAGGCGAACCATCGCAGGCTCCGACCCCAGCGACACGCCCATGGCCACCATCTTCCGCCTCCCGAAACGCTCTCCTGTAGTACATTCATTTACCATGGCACAACGTCCCGATTTTTTTTGTTCAGTATCATTTCAACAACACACAGCTCACGATGTTATCATCTACAGAGCGCCGATACGGCCAACTGGCCAACCACAGCAGAGAATAAACGAAGGCTCAGGATTAACAAATGCATCAGAAGTGGAATGCATACGCAAAACTTGGATCGAGCGATCGGGAAGGACCACCTGCTGGATGTATGTATCTGTGCTGGGTGTGTAGACTACAACAGAGCGAGTGCGATTTCGGGGAAGACGGGGGGGGGGGGCGCGGCTGTCCGCCATACTTTATAACATCTCGTTCGACTGCTGTGGGTATATCTATCTCGAATGAGTCTTTCTGTGTTTTTATTATTCCTTAATGGTACAGAGTACAATGACGTCCAAACCACAGCTCCACTCAAACCATTCTCTAGAACGAACATGTGAATAGCCACACCATCATACATGTAGCAGCATCTCCTGCCCCGTTCGAGACCGTTCCTTATGGCGGGTGGTCGTGTGTGTGGCGGGGGCGTGAAGACTGCACGCACGCGTGTGTTTTTTCTATTCACGGAAAGCAAGAGGTTCCGAGTTTTGATGTCGAGATGTCGACCGACGTTTCGCAAAAAGACCGCCGGCGCCGAACGGCAGGTCAAGCCGCCTAGACTTTGGGGATTCCAAAGTTCACCATATTTTTCTAGCGCGGCTCTCTGGCTCCTACCCCTGCCGCCTTTGTAAGTGAAGTCTCCTGATGCCAGTCGTCCCGCTGCTGCTGCTGCAGCGGGCCCCGCTATCCCCGGTTGGCCTGTGCCTACAACCATGCAACGCATGCATGCAGTGCATGTATCCACAGATGACATCGACTCTCCTCTCTCGGTATATGTACGTAGTCGTGGACCAAATTGTAGTGCCCGGCCGGCCGGCGGCTACATCCGCCGGAGCAGAAGAAGCTTCTTGATCGATAAACCTGATGGGACACCTATGCGCGCCTTGGCGCCTGGGCACCACCCCACAGCCGCAGCGCAGCAGCGGCAGTGCAGTGACTGACTGGCCGACGGCTACGCTACGTACTACTATTAGCTGTAGACCACCACCACAAATGTGGAGATTGCTGCTGCTGGGATTGAGTCGTGATTTTTGCTGCCGCCCTCGGCATTCTCCCACGCCTGGGCTACCGTACAGCAGCACGTGCTGCTCCAGCGGGACGGTGAGGGGGGAGAGGTGCCTGACCACGCACCGATTAATTGACATCAATAGCACATCATCTCGGGGATCGCCTTACGCTTAAAATAGCTGTTTTCTGTCGTGCGTTCGGCGTACCCCTTTCGTGCTGAACGTGATTTGCCGTTCGAAGACACCGCCAAAAAACCGCCGCCGCTGGCTTTGTCTGTGTCTGGCCTGCGCACTCGCTGCTGTCCAAGGACCATGATCTGCGTTGGGGTCGTTTACTGCCGTGGCCTGGTGGGCTCATCTTGGCACCAGAAGGGTGCCCAAGCAACCCGGCCAAGGGCAGCCATATGTATATTTGGCCGTATGAGAAGTGCATGTGCACGTTCTTTTTCTCCTCAACCGCTGCTGCTGCTGCTGCTGCTGCTGCCAAACCGCTACTACCGCTGTCCTTCACAGCTCACCTTTCTTGAGCAGGTCAAGCCTCTCCTGCTCGTGCTTATCGAGCTTGTCCTCTTCGGTCACGCAGCTGAAGATCGAGCCCATCCTGCGAACGGTCTGCGTGTCGGGGGCTCTACTATGTCGTCGCTGCAGGTGTTAGTGGGCGGGCGGGGTCAAAGGCGCCGAATGCGAACAAGGCCAGAACAGCAACAAACAAATAGAGACGGTGAAGTGTGGGTCCGACAGCGCCGAATGGGCGGGGGGGTTGTTCTTTATGGAAATCATGTTTGCGGGCCCCCTTCTTCAAAGCCTTCTGCTGTTGGCAGCAGCAGGGACATTTACAAACGCACCGCATCCCCGCTGTGCCCAGGTGGTGGCTGCGTGTTTGCCAGCAGCAGGCAGGAGAGACTGAAAGCTGATCCTTGGTGCCAAGGACCGGGAGGAAGATGTATTCTGCGTTGCCGACGATTGAGTCGATTGGGTCGTCGGATAGCCAGGGCGGAAGCAAGGAGCCTCGTGCGGTAAGCAGATCGCGGAGACCTCCGCGGTAGCAGCAGTAGTAGCAGGACACCCCGCTGCTTTTACCTTCCTTCGTGTGCTTTGCATGTGTTCATTGGGTCTTCGATGAGGCCTTGTTAGGCGTGGATTGTGTGCTGCTGCTGCTGCTGCTGCTTCTGCTGATACTATCGTGTGTGTACATTTTGGGAGAAAACGGAAGCTGCGGTCGCCGGAACGTGGCATTGTTGACGAACAGCGGGGAGAGGTTGATCATGTCGTCTTCTCTCACATCAAGATGTTGTGGACACACGGCAGTGCTTCTCTCGGGTCAAAGGTGGGCAAACTCGAGGTAGCTCGCACTACCCGTCGTACGATTCTGGAGAAGCTGTTTGTGTCCCTGTGGCGAAAATTGAGAGCAAAGCTGGTGCTGGAACGTTTAGATGTTCTTCGAGTCGGCGGCACGGAGACAAGGCCGCTTGCGGCTTCCGAGAAGCACTCTCTCCGCGGGTTGGCGTTGTTGTGCTCCACGGTGTTTTTTGTGTGCCTTCCATCCCCTTGATGCGGAGACTCACTCCACACACAGGACCAAGCGGCGGTATTCTCAACCAAGGAACCAAGATACCAAGATATCACGCCCGGATTTGTAGAGTGTTCGTCTCTATTAGTCTCTACCAGGTACCTACGTATGTGGCAGTCCCTCCACTAGCTTCCGGCCGAATGGGACTGATACCGTGGGTGGAAGTAGTGTTTACCTCCAGAGGCTGTTGATGCTCTTGGGGTGGTGTAGATGCTGTACCTGCAGCGCTCGTCTTTCCTTATTGCTGATCGGTATTGGGGCGGACGCGGACGCGACCCCGGTCAACGGCGGGCTCGTTTAATCCTCTTGGGTCTACAGGCGTCTTGACACATCATTGATTGATCATTTGCAAATGCTGGTGTTGTGGCATGCCATGGAGTTGCCGCCCTGTATCCTCCACGCCAGGTGTTGACAAGTCAATAGGTAGGTGTGTCTTTATTGTTCGCATCGACCGCGCTACCCGGTGACCAATGAAAAGACGTTAGTGCCAGCGGGAAACATCAAGGTCCCTGGAACGGCAATCAAAACAACGCACACTGTTCTAATTGCGAATACCGCCATGAATCTCTCCCCATATCCTTTCACAGACACACATCAATAGCTCCACATACATGCCCTCGCCCGAATCTAAGAAGCCACTAAAGCAAAGACAGGAGGACAGCGAAAAGGGGCACTTCAATCCAAGCAGGCCAGGATATCGTGGTATGCTGCATATCCTCCAAATTTGCAAATCGTACACTCACAAGATCCAGCACAGGCAGTCATCATGTCAGCAGCTATTCTACACAGCAGCAGCAGTATAGACGAGTCCAACATACAGCAGTACTGTAGTAACACATACACTATCAGCATAACCCCACACATACCCTCGCCCGAACCTAGAGAGCCACTGATGCAAAGGTAGGTGTGTGCTGGTGTGTGTTTGCGTGCTTGTGGGAATTGTGGGAAATCACAGGAGCTGCAAGTAGTGAGCCGGCAGGGCTCGCATTGGGGAGGGGACAGAGATGTACAGCATACAAGAACCAGCTTTGGGTCTACCAGCCCTCTCACTGATATTTTCACTGATCATTTGAATTTACTGAAAATAGAGTAGTTTAGGCGGCTTGACGACTGATCTTTTCGAGGTCTACAAGCCTAACCTGTGCTACCGGCCGCACCGCGACCACGCATCAACCCTTCTTTGATCCTTCTGTGTCCACCGTCCTATCGTGGGCAGCCCTCATGGCCTATGGGTGGAGATAGCTTTGCGTCTACAGAAACACACCGTCTCTTTTCTGCTGTACTTGTGTCTCTGTCCCTGCACTCTCTCCTCTCTTTAAAAAAAAAAGAAAAAGAGCTAGATCCAAAGGGGTTAAGCGCCGACGTCGGCGTGCCAAGACAGCAGAGTGTCCACCTTTGTTTGCCGAAAGGTCACAACGCCACAACAGCAACTTTAACTCTGCCGCCGCAGCAGCAGCAACGTACTACAGTAAGACGCAGCAACAGCAGAGTACCTGATATTCAATAAATAGCCAAGGTTTTCTCGGCAAGCTGCTGTACGAACTCGTGGATGTGTGGATGTGGAGACGCCATCCATCAGGTGGTGATACATTCGTGTCATCCAACCTCACTGCGTAAAGACGCCCACCATGGCAGGAAAAAGGGTTGCTGTATTGAAACACCCTTTTTTTTACAGAAGGAGGACCACATGTTGAACTACACCGATGTGCCTCACGCCATCATGCACTTGTCCCCTCCAGGCGCCCGCCCTGCCACCTCGTTCCGGCTCCGGCTCCGGCTCCGGCTCCGGGCCTTCCGCCGAAAACGCCTCCGGGGGCTCGGGCGGCTCCTCGGCCTTTGCCTCCAGCCCGGGCTCCCTTCCGCAGCAGCATTCACCCGACCACGCGGCGGCGACCGCCGCGGCCGCCGATGCCCCCGTCGCGGGCGTCCACCGGACGTCCTCCGCCCCTTCCCCGGGGCTACTTGCCGGAAAGGTCGGCGGCGGAAGAGTGTCGAGCACGTCGTCGTCGTCGTCTTCTCGGTTCAGCGGCAGCGGCGGCAGCATCGGTGGGATCGAACCCCCGACGGGTCACGGGCCGCGGGAGTTTACCCTGGGTGCCATGGATGGCGGCGAGGGAGGGGCGGGGAGCGCCGGAAGCGACGGACTGTTCCACGACGCCCAGGACGTCCCGATGCCGACGCTGAGCGTGTACGATCCCGAGCGGCTGTGGGAGTACGTGGAGCGGCCGCTGATGGTGTACATGCCGCTGCGGAAGCTGTTAGCTAAGGTGGGAACTACTGTACGACGATAGATTGGGGGTGGTTTGTTGCGTCATTTGCGATGCGCTGCCGTGGTCCTCAACGAGCACGCAGCTGGGGGTTGCTGACATCAGTCGTGGTGCTTTGTGCACGCTCTTGGTATGTCCACACGATGGCGACCTACTTCAATGAACCGCCCCTCGCCCACATTTCGGGCAGTTTTTTTCCCAGCTATTGTAGTGAGCAAGCGTACAGCGCCTCCTTTGTCGGAATTCTCGTTGAACCCCCCCCCCTCCTCCGTCTCATAAACGAATGCACGGTCAACCGTCAAATAACAACAGCAAGCATGCAATGAGGTACCCCACCCCTCTCTCGCCACCCGCGCGTCGCCTCCCTGCTCCATGTCGGTAGCCTCCCGCGGTAAGCGGCCCGACGAACATCGACGAGCTCCCGGTGCGATGTCTCGTGCACCGGACGCTCGCGGGCACGGAGGTGGCGGCACGGCTCGTGGATACCCCAGCGGAGCGGTACCGGGCCTCGTTCGCGTTCATCTACATGGTCAGCGCCGAGAGCCAGGAGCACTACAAGCAGGTGCGGCGCCCTCAAGGTGGCGGCGACCGGGGTACAGATTCCGATGCTGCCCCCAGATCATATTAGACTCTGGGATCCCTATGAAGCCGGGATAGGGGACATCGGGGCTCCGCCATCATGTAGGGGGGGGGGGGGGGTCTTGCGGAATTCGGGTGCGCATTCGCGTTGGCCGCGAATGTTAGTTGAGAGAGAGAAAGTGAGGTTGACCGTTTACCGCCCCGAAAGCCCGACTTGCGGAATATGGTTGAGGGGTGGATGCAGATGGGTTTGTCAAGGGAAGATGACGTGCGAGTCCTATTATGGGTGCCCTCTCCGAACGCAGCGTCGCTGCATTTCGCGCCTGCCTGGACAAACCGTGGTACGCGCAGAACCAATCAAACTGGTTATGCTTAATAACCCCGCCCCCGTCCCCGCCGCCGCACGGAGAATGAGAGCAAAAACTGGCTACCAATCTCTCCCACCATCGGCGTAACCAACCGGAGGAGTAAGGCATGGTTGTGTCCCGCTCACACCGCCGTATTTAGTTCTCCCGATGTAAGTTCCTCGAATTCCTTCCGATTTTGCTCACTTTCGAACCCCACCACCCCGTTTCCCGCCGAAAAAAAAACGCAACGCCAGACGGTTCGGCCCCTGATTCGGGCATGGATTGACAAGGTGGAGGCCCGGGGAGGAGGTGAGGACGGCCCCGGGTGGCTCCTCCTCTACGTTATCGTAGCGCCCCAGGGCGGGGGGTCTTCCGACGCGGCCGCTGCGACGGCGGCGGCGGTCGATGCCCAGGGCAAGATCTTCTGGTGGCTGTGCGCCGACTTCTACTCCAAGACCCCCGGCGATCGGTGCTCGCTGGTGTCGCTCTACGTGGACGGGAACACTCCTGTCAAGGGGGGTCAGAAGGCGAAGGTGAGAGGAAGAAGCCGCCGCGTGCTTTCTTTGGCTGTCAGAAGGCGAAGGTAAGAAGAAGTCGCGTGCTTTTTGTTTTGGGGGGAGTCAACGGTCGCTCTTTAATTGCGTTTTTTTATCGGCCCTTCTGCAGAAGCAGTACAGCAGTAGCGAAAATCAAATTTGGTTTTCCGTTCCCCCCGCTGGGCGGAGTCAATGGTCGCCCTTGTGTTGTCGTTTCAATCGGCCCCGTCCAACCAAGCGGTCGATGAAAATTGAGCAAGTTTTTCGGTCAGTGCTTTTGTGTAGCGGGAGCCGGGGTGCTTCATGGTATTGTATTGACCCCCCCCCGCCCCCCCCTTCCTCTTGTGCGCGAATTTGGATGTTCTTGGACACAACCGAAGATGCTGGCGAGGTCGAGGCCAAGCGCAAGCCCGCGCCACCACCCCAAGCAGTGGAGCGACCTCCTCGCCAAGGTGATCTTCTTGCTGTTGATGTGTGTGTGTGTGTTTCTTTTTTCTTTTGCTAACCATCGACCGCGCTAACCGGCTGGGCAATGAAAATCCGTCAGCTGAAGTGCGATTGAAAACACAAAAGTGCTTCTGTAGGCCATGGTCTGGGACCGATTGAGGGGGTGTCATGGGAGCGACTAGGCTATTTTTCCCAGATTAGAGACAGAAACGGTAGTACCAGATGAACTATCCCAAATCGTTTGATGTACGGCATCATTGGAAGAGACGTGCGTGTGGGTGTGCGTGGCGACTGTGGAATGCCGACAGCAAGCCCTCTTTGCCGTAAACTATGCAGTTTCCGCTCCTGCTGTCGTTATTGGTTGCTCTTGCTGTCGTGTGCGTAGCAGCTCCCTTGTCGCTTTGCTTCGCTATTGTCGCTTGGATGGCCGTTTAGCATGCCCACGACGAGCTTCATAGCGGCTCCGTTGGTGGAAATGTCAACGCATTGCCGCTACTCGACAACGACGTTAGTGGGCGACAGCGGCGAAAGAAGCGGCGGGTGGTTGACTACTTGCGTGCCAGCATCTCGTTTTTTTCGGTTCGTTCTTGTTTTGAGTGAATCCATGTCGATAAGGGCACACGCTGTCGTACACGGACGTGTATCATGTTTGGTTTGGTTTCTGAATCCAGAGCGTTTGGCGAGAGCGGCGGCATCTAGGCCGTCCATAGCATTTTGTGTTCGCTATCCTTTTGCGGGTGCGACAGATCGACCAGGTGTGGTTCCCCCCCGTACCATCCTCGCGCGCGACTTGCTCACCTCTCGCCCGCATCTAGTCATTCGTTTTACTCGCCTAGGGTGTCTAAGAAGTGGTGTTTGATGGCTTGATGGGGGACGTGTTCATGCCGTTAACTCGGTTGCTACTACGACAGGTGGGGCGTGTGGTGCTGGAGGTCTTCGAGGCGAGGGTAAGGTGCTACGCTAGCGAGCTCGGCCACCTCGACGCAACGCGGGGGATGATCGGGTGAGGGGGGGGGTGGAAGGGCGGGAGGTGTTGTTTGCCGTGGTTGTCGTCGTGTTCGTGATGGTTTTTGTTGCTGTTGTTGGCGGTGGTGGTGGTTTTGTTGTGTTGGTTGCGATTGTTGTTGTTGATGTTAATGTTGCTGCTGTTGCTGCTGCTTATTTGTTGTTGGTGTTGTTGTTGTTGTTGTTGTTGCTGCTGCTGCTGCTGGTGATGTTGCTGCTGGTGTAATTATGGGCGCGATGGGTTTGTGACCAAGTCGTGGCTTCTTTCATGTGACCGCTTGAAGGTGGTCGTGGTCTGACGACTGCACACGGCCACATGCAGCATGATGAGCACTACCCCCAACGCCCCCCCCTCTCCCCTCCCCTCAAGGTGGGATTTTGGACAGTTTTTCGTGGTGAAGGAGTCGCTGGCGCTCATGTACAAGGAGTTGCAGCTTCCCTCCGAGGCGCTTCTTAAGTACCAGGTGCGCGAGGCGTATACATTGCGGAGCCCCCTAGCCGGTGGCCATCACGTCTGATTTTCTCGCTGATGGTTTCCCGCGTGCTTCGCCTGTGACTCCGTCCGAAACGTCACCGTGAAGCGCTACACCGCGACAGGTCTCATTATTTTCTGGGTCTCTAGTCTTCTTTGAAGGTCTTGCCTCTCCGCCTGGATGTTCTCTCTGGGTGCATATGTCTCTTCTCGTAAGCCTTCTCCCCTCCCGTCTTTTACTCGCTCTTTATCTTGAGTGTTTTGTCTCCCGACGCTGCTCCATCTCTCTCTCACTCTCACTCTACCTCTCTCGTTCCTCTCTTGGCTGTCTGTCTGTATCTCTGTATCTCTGTCCCCTTCTCCCAGGAACTGGCAGCACTGATCCTTACGATGGGGGAAGGCTCGGAGGCCGGTCTGCGTTCTCCCGTCCCCAGCCAGGGCAACTCCCCTGTCCGCTCCCCCAAAGACAGAGATCCGTCATCCCCCTCCGTTACGAAAGACGGAACCGGAGCGAGTCACCTCTTGTTCGGCCTGGCCATCCCCAGCCAACCGCAACGACTCCCAGGTAGATGGTCTATCGGTTCTTGTGTTGTTGTTGATTTGTTGATGTTTTTTGTTTGTTGTGAGGACACGTGGTTAAACCGTCAACCAACTAAGGCATGCAAAACTGAGTACGATCCCTCCCCCCCCTCCCCCCCGCGCCCCCATGTGCGCGCCCCCTTCCGAAAATCGCCCACGGAGTAGCCTCCGTTCTGGACTACGGGCAGATGCGGTTTCGCGAGCGGCTGAACGGGGACGGGCTTCACAGCCTTGTTCTGGAGACCCAGCTCTACATCTTCGCCAGGCAGTGCGCCCTAAATCTCGAGCTCAAGAAGCCGGCGGAGGTGGCCAGGTCGGTGGTGTGGTGTGTTGTGGGGTGTTTCACTTCCACCTTTCATCTTCGACGATGCCACTTCTACCAAGCGTGAAGCCAGCCCACTGGCAACTTTTTCTTGTAATTTTATCTCCTCCAAGATTTAGTTTTTCAATCGTTGACGCTTGCTCCGTATGGCCTACCCCCCACCCCAATGCCGCCTCTTGTCTCGGGGGTTCTGCATAGAATGGGAGGGCGTTTCATGCCGGCCTACTACCACGAGCTGGTTGGCCAGGCGGCAGACCTGCAGGAGGGCGGGGGTGGGGGGTGGGGAGGGGACTTCGACGAAGGGGCTTCGGAGGGGGGAAAATCTTCTTCTTCGACGGCACTGGACCCGGCGGAGGTGGAGCTGTTCGCCCTCAAGTCCTCGTGGGACGTCGTCAAGGCGTGCGACAGGTGCAGAAGTAGAAAGAACGCCCTTTGTTTTATTTGTTCTGGTGGTCATTGCGTGCGACGGGTGCAGCGGGCAGATGCTCATCTAATCCTCTTCTTGTTTTTTGCTTGCTTTTTTTTTTCTCGCTTGATTTGGCATCATTTCTCTTTATTGCTCTCATCCTACCTTGTGGTGTTGCTTCCAGCGGAAGGTGTCTGGGAAAAGTGGCCCCCTACACTCTGAAAAACGGCCTCGTGCCGAATTCTTTTTAATCAACGTCCTAAGCAATAGCAAAAAACAGCTAATACTCAGTACTTGGTATCAGATTACCAGCGTCGTTCCCGCTTATCCCCCCTAACCCCCGTGCGAGGTCAATGGTCTAACGACTACGGCATGCACGACTATGAGTACCCCCCCCCCCCCCCGCCGCCCAACACGATAGGGATTTCGCGCGCGCTCTTAATCCAGGGGCGTCGGGCGTGGAGCCACCTCCGCGAGAAGTGTCCGCTATCCGTAAGTCTAGGGTGGAGACGTCGAGGGTCCTGGGTGAGCTGCTGGACTTCGCGCAAAAGAAGGTACTCGAGTACGCCCGGCTTGTGGGCCAAAGGGGGAGAGACGGCGACGACTTCGGCGACGGCGGGGAAGGGCTAATGGGCTCATGTGTGTGGGAGCTGCAGGAGAGGGGGTGAGTGAGTTTTTATGTTGTGTTTTTAGGAAATGCCACTCTGTTGTTCCGAAATATAGGGACCATTGAGATCATCATGTTTGTACCCCAATCGTCCTTAGAGTATATCTCCACACAGAGTGGTATACATGGCAATTACTGAAAGAAAGACTGCCCGTTCGAGGTAACATCACAGCAGTCGGACGGGGTTTTGCTTGTGTGTTTTTGGATGGGGGGGGGATGTGTGTCGTATGTATTTAGTTGTTGATCTAGGCAATAGAAGTCAACATTTTGTGCAAGAACATGTCGCGGTAAGAGACGTAAGATATCACACGCCCTGAACCGATTTTCAAAATTGGAATACTGCACAGCCATTGTTTTTTTTTCAAGAATGTTAAACCCCGAGGTTTGTCGAATTCGTGTATAAGGGGGTGATGTGAAAACCCGCCTCCCAAAATATCTGCAAAACCGGGGTGACGGATCTCGGGTTTCGTGGCGGATTAGCAGGGTGTGTGCCAAAGGGGGAGCACGTGAAGGACAGCAGTAGTGCCTTATGTTGTTGTTGTTGTTGTTGCTGCTGTTGTGGCCACGTGTGTTGGGCGAACGTCGAATTTTGTCGGAAGACGTATCGGGACCTGACCACGTAGCTCTGTTGGGCCTACGACACGTGGCGCTCCCATCCGATGCTCTCAACATCAGCACCAGCACCAGCACCAGCACCAGCGCCAGCCCCACAAACATAACAACAGCATTTACCCCAAAAAAAAATGCTGTTCTCGTTTCGCAGGTTCCTCCCTTCTCAAAGGAACTGGATCCCTTTAGACGAAGAAGTAGCGGCAGCGGCAGCGGCATTGCGTGAGAACGAAGAGGCTTTAGGGAGGACGGGACGGATGCGGGTAGAAGGCGGTGTGGTCGACGTGCAGGTGCGATGTGCTTCTTCCTCCTCTCGTACCCGGCGCTTCTTGTCTCTCGCCCGCGGAGCGGTGCCGCCGCCTGCCTGGCTTGCGAGGCCCCCTTTCTCTTGCAGGAGGCATTCGTTGGCTGTCTTGTATGTTGTTTTATGTTCGTGCCGCTCCGTCCCAAGTTTGTTCTCACCGTACAAGCAGCGTTTTGTGACCACAGCGTTTTGTGGCCACTATCACTCCGTTGCTCTCTGTCATGCTTTTTGAGGGTCATCACTCCCTTCCTCTTTGTCAATCTTGCTTTGTGAGGGTCATCATGGTCATGCTGTGTTGGGTACAATCACTCCGTTCCTCCTCGCCAATCTTTTTTGAGTATTGTCGCTCCATTTCTCATTGTCGTCATCACTCCGTTCCTCTTCGTCATCCTCTCGTGGGCGGTTTCACTCCGTTCCTGATCGCCATGCTCTCGAGGGTTATCGCTCCATTTTTCACCGCCAGGCTGTTGAGGGCTATGTGTCATTCCGTTCATCACCGCCATGCTCTTGAGGGTCATTGCTCCCCATTTCTCGTTGTCATGCGTTTGAAGGTCATCGTTATCATTCCATTTCTCGTTGGTTGGTTGCTGCTTCCCTGCCGTGGACGTGCATGTATTCTCTTGGCGTTTGATGCCACTGCCGCCAGGCCGTGTCCGGGGAGTACTTCTGGGACTACGACGAGGAGGGCGAGGTGTTCATCCCGCCGCAAGACCCCGGGGTGAAGCGCTTTAACCCGATGAAGGTTTGTGGGTTGGTACAAGAGCTCGGAAAGTTGTCTTGACCACCGGGCAACACCACGCCCCTCCACCTGTGAGGAGCTTTTAATGTTGGGAGGGAAACAGCGGGCTTGCCCCCCCCCCCCCTGCTCCTGCTTCGTCTTCTCGAGGAAGCGTGGTCAATGGTCTTGACAGCTTAGGCATGCAAAGCATGAGCATCCCCTGGTTTGGCACAGCAGGATGATGACCAGCTTCTGGTTCAGGCTTGTGGAACGCAGCCTGGGCCGGCGAAAACCCGGCATATCGCTCCGTCCTGCATGCGAAGTCAATGGTCTTACGACCACGGCATGTGTATTCATGAGTCCCCCCCCCGCCGCACGAGGTCAATGGTCTAACGACTACGGCATGCACGACTATGAGTACACCCCCCCCTGCGGCGTTCTTATTCTCTTGCTGTAGGCCATTACCGGGGGCGACGGGGTGCCGTCTCCTCAAAAGTCTCGGCGTGCGTCTAACCGGATCACCGACTTCGACGATGACGAAGACGATTCGGACGATGCCGACAACAGTGACGGCAGCGGTTCTGGCGCCGCCGCCGCCGCCGCCGTTGCTGCCGAGGCGGCTCTCTCCAAGCTTGCCGCAGAAGAGCAGCCGCCGCCCTCCTCATCAGCGGCTGCCGCGGCGACGGCCGGCGTCGGTAGCGACGTGGGCCTGTGGCTCTTGGACAGGCCCGAGGCTCTCGAGGACGCATACCTCCAGCTGACGCACTCCCTCGGGCAGCACAACCAGAGGGCGGGGCGCATTCGAGCCGCGGCGAGGTGCTGGGGGAGGCGCGTGGAGCTGCTACTGGAGAGGGGCGAGGTCGGGGTCGCCCAGGCCCGGCTTTCGAACCTTGCGGACCTTTACCAGGTGCGTGTGTGTTTGGTTTCGTGGGAAGACGGTGCTGCCAAGGGCGTTATTTTGCCGCTACCGTATCTAGGTTTGCGTAAGACGCCGTGCAACCCTCTGAACCGGTTTTCAGTAGCTCGACAGCGCTTGTCGAGTAGAAGGAGACCACGATCGGTCGATGCGTGTTCGGAAAGCTCTCCAACAGACGGCGGCTCCAACGCGACCATTTTCGGCACCGCCATTGTTTTTTCGGCTGAGAGATCGAGCTCTCACAAGCTCTCGACGATACGGTTCCAACGCCGCTCTTTCTCTGCTGAGTAGCCGGTCGCCTCGGTGGTCTAGTGGTAACCTCGAAACCGCTATATAGTCGCAAAGTCGTGAGTTCGAATCCCCATGGGGTGAAAAACTACAAATTTGCGGGTGACAGCGAAAAACAGCTGAAAAACTCTCGTGAACTTCGACATTATTAATAGCACCATTGACGAGGGAAAGGGACGGCTGGACCCTTCTCGCGATAAAATAAAAATTCAACACGCACCGCAGGAGGAACGTGGGGCACGAAAATGAAAATAAAAAGAAGAAAACCCCTCTCTTGTGTGACCCTGGACGGTTGTAGTACTGTAGTACGAAAAAATACTCTGAAAAAGTGTAGTACTCTACATACACTAAAAGATGTAGCAGTCATGCATGGCCCGCAGCCATTCGGGAACATAATTTGTTATTTTGGTTTGGTGCAGATTTTGGCTTTTGACGTCGTTTTAAATCGGACTTGCTCATGTTATAGGCACATCAGCTGAGGCACATAGTTCTACACATGATGACTAGCCCCGAGAAGGAGAACTGATGCTGATGCATAGTCGCGTAGTACGTTGTTGATGGTGCTGTGGTATCCGTGTCATGGCCCACAGCCATTCGGAAAAAATCGGAGTACGTTGTTGATGGTGCTATGGTATCCATGTTGAAACCTACGCGAGAAATATCTCCCAGCGGGAGGTACGTAGCAGAGGGGTTTCAGAATTGGTTCGGCAGGCTTTGTCGTCGCGGAACGCGTCCCCTGGTATTGAGTACACGTCTCACCACGAAAAATGGGGGGACTGTCGCCATAATAAATAGGACGAAAACACACCCACACCCACACACACCCGTGTTCTGAAAACCGGACCAGAGGGGTGTGGGATATCTATTACAACGTGCGGTGACATGCGCTCACGCAGGGTTGGTGCGTGCAGGCGCTGCTTTGGGTGGTTGGTCGGTCAAGGAAGATCTGTACTCCCTCCTCCCTTTGAGGGGACATGTTGTCGGTCGCCTATCTGCTTTCTCGCACTCTCTCCCGTGTCTCTCGCCAACGTCTCTCTGTCTCGCCGTAAACATTTTTTTCGTTTCACCTCTTTCGCTCTTGACCGTGTATCCCGTCCCTGTTATTTTTCGTCCCATCCCTCCCGAAGGCGGAGGGATGGACGCCGCAGGCTTTCTGGGCGCTGCACAGGCTAGCGCGCTGCCGCCGGTCCCTCGCCCTCTCGGACAGAAACGAAGCAGGGCAAGCAACAGACGCTGGGGACGCCTCCTACGTATCCACCGTCATGCGCCTAGCCGCCGTCCTCAAGGACCCGCGCGTGAGATCGGACGGGGGCAAGGCCGCCGTCGACAGGGCCGCGGCGGCGCTGCTGCGGGACGCCCGCTCCCTGGCCGGCGAACCGGCGGGGTCGCCCGGGCGGGGGTTCTCTCCCCCGTCCCCGTCCGCGGATAATAACGCCGGCATCGCGTCCGCGTCGTCCCACTTCTTCTCCGGGGATTCGACGAACGATGTCGGGGGCAAGCGCGCCTACCGGCTCCAGTGCTTCGCGGACGTGAGCTTGTCGGTGGTCGAGAAGGAGGGCGGTGTCGGGGAGGAGGAGGAGGAGGAGGAGGAGGGGGGGGGCGAGGATAGCCGGCGGCGGCGGCGGCGGCGGCGGCGCCCGGACCCCTTGTCGGCCGTCCACGTCGGCGACCGGCTCCTCGTGTCGTGCGTCCTCACGAGCCACTTGCCGCAGGCCGTCACGCTGGATTCCCTGTCCCTGGAGATGACCCTCGAAGGCGGCGGCGGCGGCGGCGCACGCGGCGGTCAAGAGGCCTCAGCGGGCGGCAGGAGCGGTGTCGGCGACCGGTTCTCCAACAGGAGGTCGTCTCCGAGGCGCAGCAAGGTCCTCAGGCGGCTGGAGAGCGTCAGGACGGCGGTGGCCGCGGAAGACGACCTATCGCCAAGCCGTACTCCCGCGCCTGGTGCCCCAAAGCTTCAATCCCCGCCACCAGGGACAGCTTCCAACGGCGCCGCCGCGCTGCTCGCGTCGGGCGCCGATGGGTCAGCGGGGCAGGGTAAGGGCAAGGTGCCCGGGTTCCAGGTGCCGCCTATCCGCACCGAGCGGAGCCAGAGCCTAAGCCCGCGGCTATCGGCGACGTCCTCGGCGAGTGACTTGCGGGAGTCGCTCATGAGGGTCCCCGCCGGCAACACCAGCAGCAGCAAGTCAAGCGTCCCCGCCAAGCCGCCGCGTCATAACGTCGGCGGCGGCGGTGGCCGGACTCGGAGCCCCACCCGGCATTCGATGTCGTCTTCTGCTTCGCCGTCGCTGTCGCCGCCGCCGCCGACTACCGCGGCGGCTGCGGCGGCAGGGTCTCGGACCCCGCCAAAGGCCGCCGCCCG